GCAAGATCAAAATATTAATCCATGCACTTGTTTGAAAATGAGAAATAAAATGTTGAATTGTATGATTGTTGTTATTTTGTGTGTGTTTCTACTTCAGAAATATTTGAATTATATACATGTATTGCACCCTTTCAAAAGGTTCTGAATGAGTTTAGAAGTGCAATGGTTCATGGACAAATGCAACAAACAAACAGCATTTAAAACAGTCTTGTTTTTCAAATTCGTTTCAGAGGTAACCGGTTACCAGAATGCAGTAACCGGTTACCCATGCAGGTAACGTTATAATTTTTGAAATGCTGAAGCCTGTAACCGGTTACCACTGTATGAAAAAGTGAAATAACCTTTGTAATGACTTGGAAATGCAATGCTAGTGATAATAAAAGCTATGAAACATGTAGCATAATGTTAGACATATTTTGAGCACTATAGTAACATATTATATTGAATTGGATTCTTGTACCATAATGAAGATCAAATACCAAAGTCTTCTTTAGAAGTAACTTAGCATACAAGTCAAAAGTCTATTTTGAGTAGATACTTTTTCTTCTTCTTTTTGATAATGTCTTTTGCCTTGATCATGATGTTTGTAATCATCAAAACATAAAATTGTTGAAGCATGACTTTACATGAATGTGGCTGAAGGATTGCAAAACTTATAAATAGAGACCTTTAGGGAGGCATTCAATAGTAGGTTTAGTCAAATATCATTGAAGAACCATACTTGCAGAAAAAATTGTTAGACGATAGGCAACAATCTACAAGGGGTGGATAGATCTAATATAAAATTTTCTTATTTAAAAGATCATATATGTGTTAAATCGATAGAACCAGTACGTAAGATAAGAAGAATAATCAATATATTTTCAGCAACCACGTTTGAAAAATATCCAACAATAGTAATCAATTTCGAATGAAATATCAAACAAAAATAGACTTAAGCAATTTGTCGAACACTTAATGTGCAATCAATTCAAACCATATTTTTCTTTGGTTTGTTGATAAGAAAAACCAATTACAACCACATAGATTATAATCAGCTCAACAAAACATTTTGAAGTATTAGACAAAGAAGTTATCTCTATGTATCGATTGCACAGTCAATGGTTTCATAATTTGCAAGTAAAAGTAAAATAGAGAGAGAGAGAGAGAGAGAGAGAGAGAGAGAGAGAGAGAGAGATTTGTTTAGGCAGGTCCCCAATCGGCATATGGGTACATCTGCCCCCAATTCTAATGGAATTGAGATAATGGAAATTAACCTTTTCAAATATAGTTTACAAGAGAAAAAGTAGCAATCCAACTTTCCAAACCCTAAGTTTGGTGTTGATCCTATCTTCTTCTCTCCCTTTGATCTTAAGTACGGGTGTAATCGGTTCGGTTTGGACTAATTTTTGGTCAAAATTTTGTCTCAATCGATGATATCTCTACCAGTTTAGTTTGGTTCAATTTTTAGTGTTTTTTAAAAATGGAACCAAGCCAAACTAACCGGTTTGGTCCGATTTGGTTTGGTTTGGTTGATCAGTTTTCAACATTTGTTTTAAACATTATATTCATTGATGTATCATTTGTTATCATGTTGTTCGATATATTTTATGCTATTATTTTTTCAAATAATACATTTCGTATAATATATTTCATACTATACTTTTCAAACAACTTACCAGTTGTTCTTCATCCATATGAAGTATTGACATTATTTTCATACGTCATGAAATAAGTTCACTATCAAAAACAAAATTTGGCACTTGGCATGAAAAGGCTAGGAAGATATTTGAAAGCTTAACAAATAAAGCACAGCAATAATATCAAAAGGTATAAATACACGTAAATTAACATATTTCACACCTCAAACACACATTAAAACTATTTTGTAACGAGACTACAAGGAAATTCGTTGAAGAAGAACCATAAAAGGTAATAAAAAGATGAGAACTAACAAAGATAACTTGATCACGAATAAGGCAACCATAACCTATAAGAATGACGGTGGCGATAGAAACAGTGGTGGCGGACAGCCAGCATAGCAGCTTGGCGAGAGCAAGTTTTTATGGATTTTTTTATGTTTGGAGTTTGGTTTTGACTACATATTTTGTTCAAAGAAAAGAGTTGTAAAAAAAGATGGAGAAGTGTAGGAGCGATACAAAGTTTGGGCTTAGTAATGAGCTAAATAAAAGATTAAGTAGATATTTATAGTCATTGGTTCGGTTCAGCTCTCAAAACCCTAAGATTGATGTTGATCCTATCTTCTTCTTTCCCCTTAATCTTGAGCTCGATCAAGTAACCCAATACTTTCAATTTGATCCTCCGGTTACCGTTACTCATATTTGACAGAACCCCCGTTATTCAAAGCTTTCACTCGATTGAATCCAAATTACGAACGTATTGTGACCCAAGATTACCAAAGTGATCCTCTGGTTACTATTACTCTTTTGATAGAATCCTCGTTCTTCAAAGTTTTCACTCTGATGAATCCAAATTGCACAATCTTGTGAAAAACTCTCAAATCAATCCTTGATCTTTGAAGAAAACCCCAATTGATTTTTATCTTGAAACCCCCAAAGCATTCTCAACCCAATTGATTACACCAATCTTAAATTGGACCTTATCAACTTAAATCTAGATGGCACCCAACGAAAATAATTATGTATAATTGTTATGTATGCATAGAGAGAGGTTGAAGATGATGAGCAATACTTTATATATTTCTAATTTCAATGATTTGAAATGATGCATGAATGGTATATATATGATGTGTGTTAAGTGAGAAATATAACAGAAAAATAGATTAGATATTTTTACATGTTTTTGAAAAATAACAGTATGTGTCGACATGAGCCAGTTATGTGTCGACACGAAGTAGAAATTATACTGCTATGTGTCGAGCTGAAAGTCATATGTGTCGATCTATGCGAAACAAAAACTTTTAGTTTTTGAAAACTTACAGCTTGTGTCGGCCTGTGGCTCTTATGTGTCGACCTATAGAAGTATTTTTACTTATATGTGTCAATCTGTAACACATATGTGTCGACACGTACTGAACAAAAAGTAATTTTACAAAAATGTTTCAGCATGTGTCAACCTATGAATTCTGCGTATCGACTTGTATTGAACAAAATGTAGATTTTCAAAAATTGCTTCAGTATAGGTCGACCTAAAGAACGTACGTGTTGACCTATGCATATCTTTTTCACAAAAACACATGATTTTCAACATGTAAAATATCTCTAACATGATTTTAAGTTTCCTAAAGATAAGAGGCACATCTAGACATGGAAAGACGGGTGAAATGTACACAAATGCTAAGTCTTAGTTTTAACATTATTCAAAACATCTAAAAAGATAGTGCACTCATACTTTTTAAACTACTAAAGCCTGAAAAGATGGTTGGAAACAAGTGGATGCAAGTGGCAAGATCAGGGTTTAAACATGGGTTGAACTTGATCAATAAGTTTGAATAGTGATTCAACATGATAGAGAGCAGCAAGATGGTTGATGGTTAAATTGTCATCGCCATACTTTTAAGTCAATATGGAGATTGTTGAAGTGTGCCTTAAAACCTTAAGTGATGAAGGGAAAGAAAATGTATTTTGAGATTACATAAACCAAAGAGCCGTAAAAATAGCCAGAAGGTTGATAAAAGGGGCGTCCGAACTGTAGGTAGACAGTTTGAGCTAATCAACAGGCAATTTGGGTCTCCGGTCATCCTGTTAGGTTTTTTAGGTTCGTGTGTTTTAGACTTTTTTGTTTCACTTTCTAATTTTTTTCATTAATGGATTTTATTTTAGGCTTATTAAGGATTCATTAGGTCTTCGCATTTATAAATATGTATATATTGTATTCTTGTTATCATAATCTTTAGAACTTTACAATTTAAGACATAAGAAAGAGGTGACAAACTTAGTACGCGGAAACTTAAAGACACATTGGTTAAGGGAAACTTTGGGGGTATCTAAAGGGATTGAGAAACACTTCTAGACACCTTGGACTTGTTTGAGTCATATAAAGAGTTGGAGAAAATGGAAAACACTTACGTAGAAAAGAAGGTTTGTTCTTGAAAATTTGAATAACTATTTTCTTGTAACTTATTTGTAACCTTTTGTAACTTTTAGAAGTATGTTGATTCGGAGAACTACTCTCTAGTTCAAGAGTAGATCGTTTGATCGAACTGGGTGACTGTGGAAGATGTCAACACCCTTACATCACTCCATTTTAAAATTCCAATTTTCTCTGCACTCATTCCCACCCTCAATTCAATCAATTTTCATTGATAAGTTTAGGACAAAATTGTCGGATTCGATCGATTTAAGATGGCATTTAGGCATAGACCAATACAATTTTAGTTCATGGTGGTTTAAACACAAAATTGTAGGTAAGTACAAAATTTATAATTTTTAAAATATTATAAAAAAAATAACATTGTCTCTCTTTAAATAATTACAAAATTGTTAATTATTTTATTATAAACAATTTAGTATAAAATTGTTCGCCTTCTCTTTCAAACAACAAACTTTCAAAAAAAAATAGCAAAGTACTTTTTGCAGAAAAGCTAAATTATTTGGCTTAAACATGAAATAAGACTAATTTCTTTAAACTTTAATCCATTTCCTAATTCCATTTAATTTCTATCCATTTCTTGGATCCAGTCCGTTTATATTTTAGAGGATTTAAAATTGGGGGTTGCTTTTCTCACCTTTAGGGTGAACAGTCTTGAAATAATAAAGAGGTTAACTTCTAAACGGACTTCATACACACCAAAACTGCATCAAACTCCTGATATTAACTAATAATTAGAACTGTTTTAAAAGTTAAAATTAAAATAGAATAAAAAAAACCTAAAACCTGGCTAAAACCTAAAATCAATCCAAACCAAATAGAATTGTTTGAATAACATCAATGACATATCCAAACCGTTTTTAACCATTACAGACTCACTGTGCGCAAGCTTTGCATAAATATTAGGTAACGTTACAAAAGTAGTATAGCAGATGAGCACAAGGAAATCCTTATACAACGATTCGGTATGTAACATATGTGCCTGCAGTTTCGCTTGGCCGGATTATCCGAACAACTTGTCCACGCTTGAGTCCATAATATCTCGCAACAGGATCCGTCACGAGCATTCTAGGTAGCTGAGAAGCAGCCCAAAAATATTAGATATAATGAACCAGAAAAGAAGTTTGTAGTAGAAAGAATACTGTAATTGCAAAAAAGAGACAATATATGGGGTGGCAAATAGGCATTATGCAAAGGCACAAAATTATGAGGCGGCCAGGCCTAAAACCATGGTTCGCCCCAGCAAAAAAATAGGGTGGGGCGGGCCTAAAACCATAGCTTGCCCTGCAAAAAAATAGGGCGGGGAGGGCGTGCGGGCTTTGCACCCCTAAATGCTAAAAGTTGCAAGCATTTCTATTAATGCCCATATCTGCAAAAGTCCACAAAAAACGGGGTTTGACAGAACGAACATATTAGAGGGTGCAGACCTAAATGCGGAAAAAAGGGCATGCTCGGCGGACCGGACCCATTTTGTCATCCCTAAATATATGTATACAAGACCAATACATCTAGATAAAGAACAAAGGAGGTAGCACTGATAATTGAAAGCTAAACTTTCACTATGCTTGAATGAATAAATATAGTCCAAACTTTGTAGATACATCGATTATCTAGAAATAGATCAAGCTTTCTGTTAATGATGAGATTAATGATTCTAATAGTATGCTATGTCGTTTCACCATCACTTTTTTTTTGCCATTCCTACTACATGTATTGTTCAGTACAAGATGCATGTAACAGAATTTCAATGAGTTTCATGTGTGCTGAATTTCTGAATAGAAAGATTTTCTTATTAACTTTAGAGGTTATTTTCCGATTTGGACATCATTGCATTATAATGCAGAATTAGTATATCTTAACTAACAAGCATATCAGAAGTTCTCATCTATATGAAAATTAAATGTAGACAAATTTATTTAATATAAAAAAGTATAGAAGAACACTGACCTGAGTTTCTTTGACAGTGTATGTCTCGAGCAAATTTTCCTTCTCAGCCTTGGTGAGCACCTGATGTTCCGGCACAAGCTCGTGTTCTGTTATGTTCACCAGCAGTTCATCCTCCTGCACAACCAGCGGTTACATCAACCATTAACAACCACCTACACAAACGCATGAAGAAATCTAATCTATCTATATATCTATGTGTCTATCTTCCATCTAACCTATTCTAACATAAAATGTCAGCCTCTTACAATTTAGTTAGAATGAATAGCAACTTTGATAGTTAACATTACAAGGATCAACATTTGAAATTTACAATATTGCAAATTGAAAACGGTTAATCAATTTAGACTCTAGGGCTATGAATAAAATGATTACCAGAAAGACTTCAATACTATGCTTGGAAGCCAAGTCACTAATATACACTTGTGCAGGGACAGATAGTCTAGTTTGACTAACAAGGATAGATCTCTTGATGTTATCTCGCTCCATACGGTCACGGATAATGGAAACAATGTCGATACCGAGTTTGGAATCACAGACAAAGAAAACAAAGATTTGGTCAGAAGGATCGTCTTTGCTATTTTTGAGATAAGTGGGGTCTCCTCTCTTGAGGTCAAAGTCAAACTTTTCTTTGAACTCTTGTTTCGACATATTTACCTCGGAGTCTAGGACGAGGTAGTTTCTGTCTCTTAACATTTGTAAAACTGTCCTGTGAACTCTGTATAGTTTGGGTATCTCTTCCTCGGAATACACCATCTTTGCGTCTTTTTTTGAGATGCAAAATTAAACTACAAAGCATGAATCAATATGTAAATCATTTTGTGTATCAACGCAACAAAAGGAATAAATCGAATCAATTTTGCAATGGAAAATGAAATTCGAAAGAAACCTAATATGGAGAAAATCAATTTAATTCAACTCAAGTTCAGGAAAATGAAGAAATTGCAGTGAAGAAAGAAAACAATATCGAAGACTTGAAGTGGAGAAGAACTTACTGTCGTGTGGGAAGATGTCGCAAAAGACAGTGAGGGTTTGTGAGGTTTTAGGTTTTTTTTTGTTCGGCGAGGGTTTATGTTGAGGCTATCCTAAAACTGAAATATTATTACTTTAAAAATTAATAACGTTGGAATAAGATTGAAATATGGGTTTAATTCTTATGCACGGTCAACTATCGATACATTACAATTATTTAATTATAATATTTTTAAAAAATTAAAATTAAAGTTAAATATTTCTAATAAATTAACTATTGTGATTAACTGATCGTCAGTGTATTTTAATTAATTTCTTGAAATATTTTAAAATTAATATAGTTGGTTTTTACCCAAAAAAAAAAATAACATTAGGATGATTTGGATTAAATAGTGACGTATATATTCTCGTTTAGTCATATGTAATTTAATTCAATTTATACTAATGTTATATTTTCTTAAGGTAGAAATCTATTGTTCGTGAAGAGAGTTATGTCTACCGTCGGATGAATCTAGACGGTGGAAAAGAGTTATGTTCGCGAATCCTAAGATTCATATGTTTACATCTAATTAGGTTTTCCCATTGCGTGTTGGGTCTTTGTGTCTTTGGGCCATGCAATCGGTCTAAAACACTTACACCTCAAGCCCTTTTTCTATTGTGTCGAGCAAGGGATTTGTTTGTAATAGATGGCTACATCCACCTATGAGGACATCACGTTGATATGTTTGGTGGAACTTTGTCATTCTCGGAAAGCATCAAATTTAAGACAATACTCTTACGTGGCACTAAGAGGTGCAGGTAATGATTGACATGTATCCCCATTCTAGTTGGCCATCGTGGTTTGCCTATATTTAGGATACTATAGTGTTTTTCGAATAATCTTAAGGAGATCTCAACTGTTGATAATAGGGAATGATCATATAGCCTTCAGTTTTCTAAAGGAATATATAGGGTTATCGAGGAGTCATTCTTTTCATTACTAACTATTTATTGACTTTGCACAAGAAATTTCTCCCCTTTTATACCTTTTATGGAGATTCTTTGGGATGAGTGTTAATATGTGCCAGAGATATTTTGCTCATCGATTTATTTTCATGTGTTTGATTTTTTGCTTGAACACCTGGTTTTTGATGTTTAAGCTTATTTCCTTCTTCTTTGTTTCACCATTTTGGGGTTTCTAGTACTTTGAACTTGTTCGCCTTTCCCTTCTTTCATGCATTCGTTCTTTGACATATTTGCTCATGGTTATTATGCATGTCTCAACTAAGAAGGTTGGTAAAGATATTTCGGGAGTTTGGGTAAATTAAGAGATATCAGATGTTATGTCTGCTTTCTCTTGTGGTGACATTTTCCAAGCTATGATTGATGTGTGTGCGTCAAAAGACTAGGGTGTTCTTCCTTCATATGAGAATCAAAGGGTATGTGGTCAGTATGCTAGGCGTGTCATCCCAATTCATGGGTGTTCATTCTCCTTCATTGGTTATTGTTTTCCCTTCAACAAGTTAGAAATCAGTGTTCTGAACCATTTACTCATTTCCTCTCACAGTTTCACCCTGTGAGTTAGGCGTTTATCAAAGTTTTTCAACACCGGTGTGAATATAAAGCTAGTAAGGCAGCGGTGACATTGTTCTTCCACCTCTTCAAAGTGCAAAATGGTATCAAATTCGTGAATGGTTCCGGTTTGGTATTTCTAAGGCAAAGTACTAAATACTTTGAGACTTATTCTAATGGTGTGAAACATTTTGATGACCGCTTCTTCCTAGTAGTTTCTCTAAATAGGGAGGCTCATTAGAAGACTTGTCGACTAGATCACGGTGTTCCTTCTATATGTACACATCTCTTTTGCAAATATTGGACTCAGAGTCACTTTCTAACCAAAGTTGGAATGTACCGCTACATGGAGAAAGATTTTTCTGAAGAGGTGTTATATTTGAAGGGTCATATAGTGTCCTTTTGTTAGGAACTTAGCTATGTATGTGAGGTGATTCCATCTGACATGGCCTCCAAGACTCGGCTAAAAAGGGGCATTCAAACTCGTTGGATTATGGATGTTAAATCTAAAGATGAGAGGAAGAAAATCTTTGGTAAGATACTTTAGAATTTTTTCCATCTTCTTTCCATTCTTTGGTCTTTCCCGATGTCATTTGTCTTCTGCAAATGCCATGAAAAGTGAAGACACTATGTAGAGGTTAAGGAAAGAAATTATGACCACTGTTATTTTGATTGGGATTTCGAACACACCCTCATTAGAGGAGGTTTCTGCTTTGGGTACATTTGTTGGGACCCCTTCTGGCCCGATTATCATACAAATCGCATGGATAATTTCTCCTTGCGTCATAGATGTTACCCCAGATTCTCCTAATTGTGCCTTGGTGGAGGGAATTCCTCATAAAGAAAGGGAGGAAAGATTTTCCTGAGATGGGAAAGATTTAGGATGAGGGCCCTCTTTGTAGCACCTTCGACAAACTAGATACGTGGGTGGATCCTCTTCCACATAGATGGATGTAAACCTCATGTTTCTAGTTTGTTCAGGTCTGAGGACAGCTGATGAATTTTATTCTTTAGTCTCTAACAAAGATTACTCCTACTTCTCAAGACTTTCTGACAAAGCTCTTCAAAGGGAGTTGGGTTACAATGCCCGCCAGGCATCTCCTTTTCTAGATTTTTGTGTTGCTAGCTAGAAAGAGATTATATTGTCTGGTCGTCTTTATCAAGAAAGGGAAAGACAAGAGAAACAAGTTGGTGATATTAGAATTGAGATGGATATATGCTTGGAAGAAGTCTAGGATGTTTTTCAGTCATTTATCGCCATCAAAATTGCTTGGGCCCATTCGGGTATCTTGGTTCGTAAGTTAAAAAGGTGAAGCAACTAGTTTAGGGGGAACCCGAGAAGGATGGGACTTTGGCAGAGGGAAACCTGTCTTTGGAGGTTTCTCGGAAAAGAAACAAGGAGCTGGAAAAGGCTTTCAAAAAGTCCCAAAAGAATCAAAGAAAAACTGAGGTTGGCCTCAACAACATGCGTGAGGAGAACCTTTCTCTTTGTAAGAAGCAGACCAAATCCCTGCAAGATGGTTTATCTGTGGCTGGGGAGGCTTTTGAGAATTCACTTTAGCAAGTGGAATACTTCTATTCAATTGGTATCATCTCTCGATCCCAGGTATGTCTTGGCCAAGTTATTGAATTCGGGTAAGTGGTTCTTCTTGAGGGATAGCAAGTTCATTTTTTATGACATCGGTGTGTTTAAGTCCGACATTTATGTAGTCTTTGTATCCTTAACTTTCAATGCACTTGTATATGTATTTTATTTCTTGTTTAAATTGTACCAATTTTTTGGTGTCGTTTGTGTCCCTTACTTTTATCTATAAGGTTTGGCTCTTTTCTAAGTTTCGTGCTTGAAGTTTATTAGACGTCTTTAGAGACCGTGTCCAACCAAGTTTCAGTAACCTTTCTCATGCCCTCAAGTGTAAACATGGTTTAAGGTTGACGTATTGGCAGTCATACCATAATCTATAGAGTGACTAGCTACCAGAAAGGGGTAGGACGGTGTGATACGGTGGGAGAAGTGACTTGAGGTTTTGCGTTTCGTCGCAAATGTCGCGGTTTAGCAAGAGTCGCCACTGACTTTTATTTTATCCAAAAGGAAAGGTAAAAAAGCACAGGAAAGACCTTTGAGATGTTTTCTTGAGTTCGGGGGGTAGATTGTGAAAAGGGAAGGTGATAGCACCCTTTTCATCCATGGTTTTCCATGGGCTCTTAGTTACTTGCTTAGATCACTTGCTTTGCTTTTGAAATTGTTTGAAATGGTGCTTTGTGTTTGGTGTGATTTTGAAAGTATTTTGAAAAGAGGCCATTCATTTAGGCAATCTTTATAATGATTCTCGTTTGTAAGAATATATACACAGATGTTTGTCTTTTGAAAAATGTTTCAATGTTTTTCAAAGTTGTTTGGAAATGTTTTGAAAAGTGTGTGTGTTTGTTTGAAAATAGCAAGGATTGTTTGAAGGAGAGCAAGTAACTAGGAACTATCTACCCTACTCAAATGTCTTTCCTATGCATCTTTATTCCTTTGACATTGTTGATTTACCATTGATTTGGTAAACAACCCTATCTTTGGATGTTAAACGGGATGGGCGTGGGTCATCGTATGACCATGATAGCAATGTTGTCAAGTATCTTAGCTTGTTTGAGGGACCAAGATCATTTGTTTTAGGCAACCTTTTGATAGCGTCATCGAGGGACTATGATCTCATTTGTGTATTGTTTTACCAAGATACTTTGCATGCATACCATGGCCATTTTCTTTTAGGCAACCAAGTGGGTGAAACCCTAAGAGTGCTTGTGTGCAATGTGTGTCATTTTACATGTATTTTGTCTTGGATTAGGTTTTGTCTATTTGTTTGATTTTTTGTCTTATCATGCAAAACCCTAATTTACTACACATAGTATAAATGTGATAAATTGCGTAAAAGTAAACTAAGCTATTACAACAATTATTATGGAAGGGGGGATACAAGTTTTGAATGGGGATATTTGCACAAAATAAAACCCTAAAATACTATTACAACCCAATTGAATTATTGTGCGAAATAAATAGATATACAAATATTAAAAATGCAATAAAAATGTATTTATGCAAAAATGTTTTATGTTTGTTTAATGTATGAGAAAAAATGATTATTTAAACTCTAGAAATAAGATAAAAAATATTTATTATTTTTGGAGGGATGAAACCCTAATTTTGATTTAAAAGAAAATAATGTTTTCTAATATTATTTTATCCATTT